GCCACATCCCTGTTAAAGATAGATCAGCCATGGAATCCACTCATTTGGAGTACACCATCTCTTCTCGCTCACAAGCAGCCTCTCCGTTCACAGCCGAGCTAACATGCGCCGAAGTTGTCCGGCGAAAAATCCGTCTCGAGAAAAACTCTCTCTCTCTCTTCCCGAACAAACCTTCGTCCATCAAACCACCGGCTTTATTCCCTTATACAACGTAACCACCGTGACTTACTCGCTAAACTGCGCCGGAATCTCCCAAATCATGACCCATCTCGGCGACTACGGCTGCTCCACTATCTTGCGCGAGATCTACGAAGCTATTATGTCAACAAGATTGGGAGGCAGAGAAGTGGACTCAAGTCAAGATCTGCAAAATCACTACTAAGGTTTATAAACTCGACAAAGATTCGGAGATACTGTTGATCGAGAAACACTGCCCCGGTTCACCGGCGACAAATTCGCTACCGGTTTGCGGATACACTAATAATAACCCCAAGGGATCTACAAGATGCGTGATTTGCATGGAGGATTACAGAGAAGGATCAATCGTTGCGAAATTGCCTTGTGATCATGATTTTCATGGAGGTTGTATCAACAAGTGGTCGCAAATCAAACATCTTTGTCCTTTGTGTCGATTACCCATCTCAAATTCATCATCTTTTTCATTCTTTTTCTGGATTTTTGTGTTGTAATTAGGGTTTATGGGATTCTGCTATAAAGTTTGTAACTTTCCTCTGTTTTTTTTAGTTCATTTTGCTTCTGTGACGATGTCAATTGCAATTCACCACTGTCTCTCTCTACTCACTAGTTGCAAGAACTTAAGAGCACTAACCCAAATCCATCCTTTTCTTGTAAAATCCGGCGTCGATACTGATTCTTACTTCACCGGAAAACTAATCCTACAATGTGCGATTTCCATTCCCGACGCTTTACCTTACGCTCGACGTCTCTTGCTCTGTTTTCCTGATCCTGATGCTTTCATGTTCAACACTCTCGTCAGAGGATACTCTGAATCCGATGAGCCGCACAATTCCGTCGCGGTGTTTGTGGAAATGATTAGGAAAGGTCTCGTTTTTCCAGATAGCTTCTCATTCGCGTTCGTCGTCAAGGCCGCGGCGAATTTCCGGTCTCTGAGAACTGGTATTCAGATGCATTGTCAAGCTTTGAAACATGGGCTCGATTCGCATTTGTTTGTCGCCACTACTTTGATAGGTTTATATGGGGAATGTGGGTGTGTGGAGTTTGCTCGCAAGGTGTTCGATGAAATGCGTCAACCGAATTTGGTTGCATGGAACGCTGTGGTTACGGCTTGTTTTAGGGGAAATGATGTTGCGGGAGCGAGGGAAATCTTTGATAAGATGATGGTAAGGAATCATACGTCGTGGAACGTGATGCTTGCTGGGTACACTAAAGCTGGGGAGCTTGAGAGTGCTAAACGGGTGTTTTCGGAAATGCCTCTCAGAGATGATGTCTCTTGGAGCACTATGATTGTTGGGTTTGCTCATAATGGAAGTTTCACTGAGGCTTTCTCGTATTTCAGGGAGTTGCGAAGAGCGGAGATGAGACCAAATGAGGTAAGCTTGACTGGAGTTCTCTCTGCTTGTTCACAATCTGGAGCATTTGAGTTTGGGAAGACGTTACACGGGTTTGTAGAGAAAGCAGGGTATAGCTGGATAGTTTCGGTGAACAATGCGCTTATCGATATGTATTCTAGGTGCGGTAATGTCCCAATGGCTAGGTTAGTCTTTGAAGGTATGCCAGAGAAGAGGAGTATTGTATCTTGGACATCAATGATAGCGGGGTTAGCGATGTATGGTCACGGGGAAGAAGCTATTAAACTCTTCAATGAAATGACTGAATCTGGTGTTACGCCAGACGGGATATCTTTCATTTCCCTTTTGTATGCTTGTAGTCATGCTGGACTGATCAAAGAAGGTGAAGAATACTTCTCTAAGATGAAGAGTGATTACCACATAGAACCAGCAATTGAACACTATGGTTGCATGGTTGATTTATATGGCCGATCTGGAAAACTCCAAAAGGCTTACAATTTCATATGCCAAATGCCAGTTCCACCGTCTGCTATTGTGTGGCGGACTCTTCTAGGGGCTTGCAGTAGTCATGGGAATATCGAATTGGCCGAGCAAGTAAAAAAAAGGCTTAACGAGCTTGACCCGAATAACCCGGGGGATCTTGTTCTTTTGTCAAATGTTTATGCTACTGCGGGTAAATGGAAGGATGTTGCTTCTATAAGAAAGTCAATGATTGTCCAGAGGATCAAGAAGATAACTGGTTGGAGCTTGGTCGAAATTGACAAAACCATGTACAAGTTCACTGCAGGCGAGAAAAAGAAAGGAACTGATATAGAGGCTCACGTAAAGCTAAAAGAAATAATTTTGAGGCTTAGAGATGAAGCTGGGTATGCACCAGAAATTGCAAGTGCTTTATATGATGTAGAAGAGGAAGAAAAAGAGGATCAAGTGAGCAAACACAGTGAGAAGCTTGCACTTGCATTTGCAATAGCAAAGTTACCCAAAGGAGCTAATATCAGAATAGTAAAGAATCTGAGAATATGCAGAGACTGTCACGTTGTTATGAAGCTAACGTCGAGTGTTTATGGAGTAGAAATTGTGGTTAGAGACAGAAATCGTTTCCATTTATTCAAGAACGGTTCTTGCTCGTGCCGCGATTGCTGGTAGAAGTTATGAAATAGAAAAAAGTACCAAACTTTATATCACTTTGTGGTCTAAATGCTTCAACTAGTAACCTCCTCTATGGAGAGACTTCACTGCCAACACAAAGAAGTTTCTACAACTTGAGGTTTTGTGGTTTACATTGCATTGGGGTTTTGGTTTATTGTTACATTTTCCGTTCTTCATGGCCTAGAACGTAATATACGAAATATTTTTGGACTGCTATTAGAAATTTTATGACAGATTTTTCTAAAGTCAGCAAGTTTGGTGGTTCTGGTTTCTAAAGTCTCGGCCTTTGAATCGTCTTTTTTTTCCTTCTTTGTCGCTACCAGATCTTCGAAAAATCCTAACTTTCTTTTTTGCTTCCATGGCTGCTTCAGCTGCATTCTCCATTTCATCACCACCTTTCGTACCTTTTTCTTGCAAAATTCGCAGACCATTTCTCTTGATTAGTCCAAAATATCCCAAACTCGTTTCGGTGCGAGCTTCTGCGTTTTCTGTCGACAAGTCCTCGATCTCCATTGATGAAAAATCGACAGTTCAAACTAAGGTGAGTTTACTTGTATTTCGTTTTGTCTGATCGTCTTGCTCTTATTGTTCAGTTACATGGTTTGATCCTTTGACTTGGATTAAGGGATTAGACAAATAAAGAATGGTCTATCTATGATTTTGATTCATATACTCAATTAGCTATAACATTTGTT